GGTCCCCGCGAAGGGACGGGCGGGCGGGGACCGGCGGGGCGCGGGGACCTGTCGGAGCCTTTGTCTGCGGCGCGTGGCCCCGCTCCGCGCCCCCTCCTCCTCCGTGCCGGCCGGGGCAGCCGAGGCCAGGGGCGGGGGCGCGTGACCCCGGGGACTCTAAGTCCCCCACCTGACCCCAGCCCCTGCCCCGGGAGAAGAGGGCTCCCACCCCTACCCCCTGTCCAGCATCCAGACCGGGCCAGCCCCCCACCAGCCCAACTGCCAGCGCAGGACCCAGACCCGGGAAGGGAGAGAGTGGCCCGTGGCCCGCCCGAGGCCATGCCGGCCTTGGCGCGACCTCCTTCCGGGGCACGACCTAAGGGTCCTTCCACCTGAAGTTCCTCCCTGACCCCTTCCGTCCCTGCTCACCCCTTCCCCAGCCAGCCCCCTCCTAGTTCTTGAGAAAGTCGTCTGCAAGAGGCCGGCCTGTGCCCAGGGGTCACCTCGGAGTGGCCAGGGGACTCTGTCCTTTGCCTAGGGGCGCAGGCCTCGGCACCAACTTTGTTGCTGATGGGGCCAGGCAGGCAGGAGCCTGGGGTGGGGTGCTGCCAGCGTCTACAACTGCAGAAACCAGGGCCGCGGAGGCGTGGGTCCTGGCGGCTCAGCTGCCAGCCAGCGCCTGTGGCCAGTGCATTCACCTGTCCTCCAAGAGCTGCAGGAAGGGAGTGGCCGGAGGGTGTTGAAACTCACTTTCCCGTGGTCAGGACCAACCGGGAGGAGCTGGGGCAGTCTAGAACGCTTGGCTGGGGAAAGGGCAGCAGAGGAGTCACAAGCCGGCCCAGGCACAGGGGCCTGGGGCCAACCGGGGGCATCCACTACCAGGGCTCCTGGCCCCCGGGGAGTGTGAGGCCCGAGGAGGGCCAGCACTGCTGGCTTTCCAAACCGAGTTCAGGTCCCTCGTTCCCCCCGGCTGGAGGTGCGGCGCGCGGCCCTGAGAGGGTCAGCGTGGCCTTGGGGTCCAGATGCCTGGCCTCCACAGTGCCCGGGGCACATTCAGATCCAGTGTCCATTCAGTCGCAGCTAAGATGGGGGGAAAAAGGAGGTCGCCCAGGCCAGGGCCCCAGTATGAGCTGCAGGAGCGCTGGATTCGGCTCTCTGTGCCTCAGTCTCCCTTTCCACAAAGTGGGGGCATGAGCTGGGCTTTCGGGACTACTGGGGTCGGGAGCCCTCTCTGGCCCCAAGCAGTGTCCGGAGGTGGTGGCCTGTGTGACTGCTGAGCACGTGCTGTGTTCAGCCAAGCCTTCCCTGCTAACCCCCGCCCCGCCCTGTTTGTGAAGTGCTTTCTCACCTACTCCTCCACAAGAGGGAGGTGGGGAAACTGAGGCCCAGGGGGCCCGTTGAGGCAGTGACCAGTGACCTGAGGGCCAAAGAGATGCCCTGTGTCTTCTCAGCTGCGCCCCGGGCGGGTGTGGAGGGCTCCTGACAGGGTGGGGGAGCAGAGAAGAGCCCTGTGCAGGCCCTTAAGTATTAATGAAAGGAGGGGTCTGGGGAGGGGCAGGCTGGAGGCCTGCAGCCCCGGAGTGGGGGTCGTCCCCGGTGCACCCCTGCCCCGCCACCACATGAGGCCCAGCCTCTGCCCAGGCCAGTGAGGTCATGTTTAGGGGCCATGAGCCATGGTAGGGGGAGCCAGAGCCCTCCCAGGGGGCCTGGAGAGGCACATGGGGACAGTGGCTGGGGCGGACAGTGTGGGTGGCAGCTACCCGCCTCCCGACTGAGGAGCAGTGAGGCCGCCTCCCGGCTCGATGCAGAGCATGTCTGCAGCCGGCCGGGAGAGGCCGAGCGGAACCTCAGCGTGGAGGCGGGCGTGTCTGGGCGCTGCGGCTCGGGAACCTCTGCTGAGCACAGGCCAGGGGTCGGGGCTCTGGTGTCCTCAGGGGGCTGGAGGGAGGAGGGTTCTGTCGTTGTAGACCGGCTGCCGCTGGCCGCCGTCCTGGCCCTTCTTATCAGCGGAGGGAGGCCGGGCATCTCCAAGCCTCCGCTGCAGGATCCTGGCCAAGGCTGAGATCTGTCCTAAGTCCAGCTCGGTCCCCCAGCTCCAGGTGTGGCTGGGGGCCCAGGGCTGGGGGCTCAGGAAGAGGACTGAGCCTGGAGGGGGAATGACACCTGCTTCCCAGCCCCCCCTTCCCCACTGCTTCTGGGGACCCATCAGCTTGGGTCAGCCCCCCCGGCAGGGCCAGAATGTCCCCAGTCCCCAGGACCGACTGGAAGCAGTGATGGCTCCAGCCCCCAGGCCCGGATAAAAGGTCTCCTTGGAGAGTTAGGAAAGGAGGAAGGAGGCCAGGAGGGGGCGCTCCATGACTCGTCAGCACCACAATGTGGAGGCTGGGGGTTGGATAAACTGAGGCAGGAGAACCGGAAGCAATGAGATGAAACGGGGGTCGGCATGGCTGTGTGCCAACCGCAGAGAAAATCGGAGTAACTCGGGCGCGTGGGATCCTTCTCCCGGCTTCTCCCATGGGTCCCCCAACCCGTGCTCACGGACTGGGGAAGCAGAGGTGCCACCCTCCGTGCCCGATGCCGTGGTGTCCCATCTCTGCCCCAGATGCTCTACGACGGGCACGTATCCTTTTTGCAATCAATAGAATGAATAAAGACCATTAGAAAAATGAATTGGTAGATGTTTTAGGGAAAGAACCAGAGCCCGACCCCCACACACAGGGTTACCTATACAGTGGGGGTGTCTCTCCATTGCGGATCAATTAGCTCCTTCCTTTCCTCCAAAGATAAGGGCTAGCAGATTTGAGCTGAAGCAAGAGAAACTGAGGCAAGATCAAAGGAAGGACTTCCTGCCGCTGAAGGTGGCTGGCCCTAGAACGGAGGGCCGTGGTGGCCCAGGGTGTCCCACAGGCCTGGGTTTGGGTCTGGGCTCCACCCCTGACTGCCTGTGAGAGCCAGGTCACGGGGCGAGGAGGATTCACTCCCTCACCCTCGTTTTCCTCGGCTGTAAAATGAGTGACTATCAGCACCCCTCCTGGAGGGAACTGGTGCGTGGGACACTGAGCACAGTGCTGGCACGCCAAGTGTTCCACAGTGTCGTCTGTTTTCTGACTGCTCACCAAGTCCTGGCATTCCACCTCCAAAATATTTCTCCGCTGCATCTATTTCTCTCCATGCCTGCTGCTGCCACCCCCATGCAGGCCTCCGTGGTTGCTCCCCACTGCAGCAAGGGTGAGCTTCTTGACGCAGGTCACACGGCATCACTCGTCCGCTTAGGTTTGTGCCCACTGTTTCAAAATCAGTGGAATGAATTGTGCAGATGGCCCCAGGCGGGGGGCGGTGCAGGCTTGGCCACTTGGCAGCGGGACATGGGGGTCCCTCCTCCCCGCCCCCTCAGCCGCCTCCTCTTCTCCCTCTGCAGCACGGGCTGCCATGGGCTCCGTGGGAAGCCAGCGCCTCGAGGAGCCCAGTGTGGCGGGCACGCCGGACGGGAGCCTGGTGACGAGCTTCAACTTTGACAGCTGCCAGCTGGATGAGGAGGCAGCGGCGGGGGCCGCTCAGGGCCAGGGCGGGGGCGCCGGGGGCGGCCCGATTTCCCCAGACTCTGGTGAGTGAGGGTGCGGGCAAGGTATACATCTGGCCCCAAACAGGGTCTGGCCCTGGGAGCCCGTGGGAGCCTGGGGGAGGGGCGCCTTGGGCGGTCACTGGGCGCAGGAGGCAGCGTCTGTCAGGGCGGATTGCTGTTTGCACAACAAACAAGCCCACCGGCTCAGTGTCCCCACCCTAAGGCCGCATGTCCAGTGCAGGTCACCGAGCAGGGCTGTGGAGGCTCCGTCTTGCCGGGGGCTCCCGTGGCCACTGGGCGGGTGAAAGGGCACATGGTGAATCACGGACTGATCCATACCGTACATAAAGCTTCCATCTAGAAGAGACACGGGTCACTTTGGTCACATTTTGTTGGCCAAAGCAAGCTACACCTCGCTTCAGTGGAGACGGGGAAGTGCCGGAAGGGAGGAGGATTGATGTGAGGTTCAAAGACCTGATTTCCCATCTTGCTGTATGACCTGGGGCAACGGCCCATACCTCTCTGAGCCTCAGTGTCCCACGTTGAGGAAATAGGCCAGGTGCTTGTGAGTTCAGACTTGCAAAGTGGGCGGCGTGTGAGTCTGGAGGCAGACAGGTTTGCGTTCATCGCCAGCTCCCACCCCTCTGCCTCTCGGGGACTTGGGCAAGTCACTGTTCTCTGGGCCTGGTTTCTTCATCTGTGAAGGGGAATGATCCTGGTGCCACCCTCAGTGTGCTTGCAACAGAATCCCTAAGACATGGCTTAGGACTGTCCCCAACACTCTGGTGGCCCCCGTAAGTGATAGCTGTGTTGGGTGGTTCTGGATTATACTAGATTGTACCACCTCAGGCTGGGAAGTAGGGGCTCATTCTCTAGTTCCCTCCCTTCTTTCTGCAGATGGGGAGTGGAGCTTCTGCTGGACCAACCCTGGGATGGGTTGGGGTAACCTCCCTGCCCCCAAGTACGTAGACGGAGCCAGCTCGGTGCCCATCCCCCCAGGTGCCAGACTCCTCCTGGCCAGGTGTGGCAGTGGCCCTGGCAGCCATGGCCATAGAAGTGGGTGGTGGCCGTGGTGGCCGTGGCAGTGGTGGTTTTAACTCTAGTGGCCTTGGTGGCTTGATGGTGGCTGGATCAGTCAGGTTTCCACCAGAGAAACAGAGCCAGTAGGAGCTACAGAGACAGAGAGCAGATAGACAGAGGGCTGCTGATGTGATGCAGATACAGATATGTACATACACATACGGATTTCCTACAGCAGTGGGCTCACTGAAGGGGAGGCTGGCTAAGTCTGAGTCTGTAAGGCACATGGTCAGGAAGGAAGATCACAAACAGGCTGAAACCCCACAAGTATGAGCTGTTTGGGGTCTCTGAGCTCTGGGAAGACCTAAAGGTCTTGCCTGATTAGGTCAGGCCCACCCAGGGTAATTTCACTCTTGATTAACTTAAAGTCTGCTAAGGGACGACTTTAATTGGAAAACTCCCTTCACAGCAGCGTCTCGATCAGCGCTTGAATGAACAGCTGGGAAATGTATTCAGCCTGCCACGTGGACCCTTAGAACTGACCGTCACAGTCTGCCCCTTGCCAGCTCGGTTCCCATACACAGCCCCTTAAAGCATACTTTATCTCCAAGTAAAGGCACCAGCAGTCATACCACGACCTAGCACGACCTAACTAACCCCCGTACCACCAAAACCAGGCTAACGCTTTCCCCGGAAGATGCCAAGGCCTCGTGTGGTGTTCACACCTCCCCTGGGATACCCCGTAACTTAAACACTGAGATGTGAAATTAACTGTTACGGACACATCTTATGGTAGATGATAAGGGAATAAGAGAGGGAACAACACGAGAGTATTTGGTTAACACGTGTACACACACGTTTCGTGTCACAACGAGGAAGGAGTGCTCAGAGCGGTTGCGGTCCTCGTGTCTGTGCCTGGTCACGTGCTCACGGCTGGGATTTACAGCCACCTCCTCCTCCTCCCTGTCTCTACCCGCCTCGGCCCCACTGGGCGCTTCAGCTGGTCCTGGCTCCTGCCTGGAGGGGTGACCCGAACCTCCATTCCTGAAGGTTCTGGGGGGCTAGCAGTCCTGCTGGAATTGGGGTGTCGTTTGCCATTGACCTTACTCGGGGCCTGGAAGTCCTACGAGATGCCATGTGTCTGTGCTCCGCACACGCTCGTCCTTTTGCCGCGTGTAGTAGCACCCTGACAGTCAGGGTCACTCACCCCTCTTCCCTGCCTGCTGATTCAGGGCCGGGGGGCCCCGAAGGGGCTGGGTGGCAGTCTGCTTCCAGGTCAGCGGGATGAGCGTGTCTCGGGGTAGAACATTCCTGCCTTTGGAACTAGGACATTTTGCTAGTGGATCTCTAAAGGTCGTAGTGAGTGGTCCCAGTCCCCTTCCACCCCGTGGTTCCTGGACACGTGACTACTGACCCAAGAGAGTCAGCCTGGTATACTGGACACTGATTTAGAGCATGGACAGCCTCCTGGGGGACGCCGCCTCTGCCCCACAAGCTGGCCCCGTAGCTGAGTCTTCAAAAGACCATTCTACCGTGCTGTCCAGCCAGCTGCTTCCATGGCCACTGATGGCGATAGTCGTGGTGGCAGTGGTCTCTTGGTGGTGGACAGTGGCCGTGGTGATGGTTGCACTGGCCACCGTCAATGGTTGTACATCTCTCAGCCATGATTCTGATGACTGGGGCAGCTGTGGCCATGAAGGTGGATGGTGGCCATGGTGATGGTGGCCCTGACACTGGTGGTGGCTATAGTGACAGTCACCATGGTTATAGTGACTGTGAAGGTGACCGCAGTGGCTATGACAGTGATGAGAATGGCCGTGATGCAGTGGCATTGGCAACCATGGCTGTGGGGATGGACAGAAGGCAGGGTGATGGCCGCCATGACACTGGTGGATACGGTGGCCATGGTCATGATGGACCGTGGATATGGTGATGGTGGTCATGATGGTGGGTGCTGTGATGACGGTGGCCATGGTGTTTGGTGACTTGTGATGATAGCCATGATGGCACTGGCATGGACATGGGCAGTGGTTGCCATAGTAATGGACAGTGGCCACAGTCATGATGGCTTTGGTAGTTTGGATATGGTGGCAGTGGCCATAGTGATGCCGGCTGTGGTGGGAGCCAAGATGGCAGTGGCTCTGGTGGCTGTGGCAGATGAATGGTGGCACGGGATGGTGGGCTGCCATGTCTGTGATTAGGATAATGGCTGTAGTGGCTGTGGCTGAGGTGGTCATGATGGTGGGGGCTAGGGTGGACTCGGTGGCCACGGTGATGGCGGCCGTGGCGATGGACCACAGCCCTGGTGTGGCGGCCATGGCGATGGACCGCAGCCCTGGTGTGGCAGCCGTGGCGATGGACCGCAGCCCTGGTGTGGCGGCCGTGGCGATGGACCGCAGCCTTGGTGTGGTGGCCATGGCCGTGCGGGGGCTCGTCCACTTCTCACCTGGTGTCTCTGGGTCTAGCGGCAGAGGAGCCAGCGCCCGACGACCGCTACCACGCCATCTACTTTGCGATGCTGCTGGCCGGCGTGGGCTTCCTGCTGCCCTACAACAGCTTCATCACCGACGTGGACTACCTGCATCACAAGTACCCAGGTGGGTCCCCCGGCCGCGCCCTCCCTCACCGGCTGCCCGGCAGGCTCAGCTCTGGCCGCCGCCCTCCGGAAACCCCGTGGGCAGGACCCTGCTGAGGAACCCGTTTTATTCAAATCCTGGCTGAGCTGTGAATTGCTGAGTGACCTCAGGGCAGCCACTCACCCTCTCTGGGCAGAGCGAGGGGGCAGCGCCTGGCAGGGGTGGGTGCAGAGGGTGGGCTCCCCCTGAGCACCTGTGGCTGGCTGACCCTCACAGGGACCTCCATTGTGTTCGACATGAGCCTCACCTACATCTTGGTGGCGCTGGTGGCCGTGCTCCTGAACAATGCACTGGTGGAGAGACTGAGCCTGCACACCAGGATCACCGCCGGTACGCCGCCCACACGCCCCCCGGGGCTCCCAGCTCCCACTCGCCTGGCCTGTCATTCAGCGCCCCGGTTTCCCGGCCTCAGTCTCCTTGCCTGTAGAATGGGCACGCCTCCTAGGACTGTTACGGGGTTCAGTGTATGAAAATAGGGTCAGGCCCACAGTGGTCCACAGGCTAGCTGCTGCCTGGCCCCTGGGGAGGCTCTCGTGCACCACACAGTGTATCCCAGCCCACGCTCTTCCCTTGGCCTGGTCTGCCCTTCCTTTCTCCTCTTCATGGCGACTTCCAGTTTCAAGGCCCAGCGCCAAGAGCACCTCCTCCAGGAAGCCCTCCAGGTGCCCCTCTTAGACTCTAAGATGTCCCTGGCCCTCCCAGTATTAAGGAGAAGGGCAGAGAGAGAGGTCACCTCAGACCTGGCTCTACAGGAGGGGTGGGATGAGGGGGAGCCCCAAGCCCAGCAGCTCACTGCCCTCCTTTCTGGCTTCTCCCCCGACAGGCTACCTCCTGGCCTTGGGCCCCCTCCTCTTTATCAGTGTCTGTGACGTGTGGCTGCAGCTCTTCTCTCGTGACCAGGCTTACGCCATCAACCTGGCTGCGGTGGGCACCGTGGCCTTCGGCTGCACAGGTAGGGACAGGGGGCAGGGGCGGGGCTGAGCCCCCGAGTGCCTGCCGCAGGCCGACCCCCAGCCCCACTCGTGTGCTGGGGCATAGCACACGAGATGAGCCCAGCGCGGTGCCGGTCCGTATCCACACGCACACCCCACACACGGGCTCACACACAACACACACACACAGTGCCTGCCCCACACACGGGCTCACACACAACACACACACA